AAATGTGCTGACACGGAATCCAGGGCGTAATACCCGCGATCTGATACCATCCAGCCAGGATCGAACCAGATCCAGCAAGAAACCAGCTGGATTATCGTCGGATCGAGCTCAAGCTAATCGACAAACGAATCCCTCCCCGACGGTAGGCCAGGCTACAGCTACCGTGTCCTCCGACACCTCACCAATCACCTTACAACGGCACTTCGAAGCTGCGATGAGTCGTTTCCTGGCCGAAACAAGGAATGAGAATGCCCAGGTCACAAACGCAAGTACCCCACGACCATGGAGCACAAGACGTCGAAATGGAGTCAGTAAAGTAAAAAAAAACTCCCATGATAAGTTCGATCCAGATGATCGGGATGTCCCATCCCCCTCGCCAGCGGCGGTAGCAACAGCTGCAGCCGGGACGGATGGTCCAGAATGTACGGATCTCAGCTATATCGGATCTGAAGGAGTTCACGGGCAAGGATCAAGATGAAGACCGAGCGCAAACATGGATCAGCAAAGTCAAGCCAGCCGTCATGAGAGATCAAGCATCAGATGCAGAAAAGTGTCTGACATTTGCGGACTTGCTGGCGGGGCCAGTCAGAATCTGGTATCGGCAGCTGGGCAGATCCACTAGGAACAAGTGGCCAGATTTTCTACGTGGTTTCCAAACGCAGTATCGTGGATGGGGGGTGATGGTAGCGCGACAGTACTACCATGCTCGCCGCCGATCGGACGAATCCCCGCTAGAATACTTCCATCGGCTCAATGTGGCCGGTCTACGGGCCAAGTTGAAGATCAAGGATGGGGAATCCAAGGTACTACGGGAACATGTGGATCAGTTCTTCGAAACCTTGGGAGATGCTGATCCGGCCGACAGGTTGACCCTGCTACGACTGCCAGATGCCGACGTACTCGAAGAAGTGCTGCGGGTAGTGGATCACGCGACACACCGCCAGAAGAAGGCGGCTGTCGGATCTGGCAAGTATCGTCAAAAGGCTCCGACACACACGGCCCCAGACCGACGGGTCCACCAAGTCAGGGCGCCCGACGCAGTAACTGAATCTGGATCTGGTGGATCGGACTCCGATCCGGAAGATTACCACAGAGTCTGTCTCACCGCTCCCACCGATCGTATGGCAAAGACTGGAGATGACCCCCGAGCTGTGGATTCCTTACCCGGGGGTCGTGGGATGCACAGATCCCGAGATCTCATCGACGGGACAGGACAAATCTGGTGCTCGCAATGTGGATCCCGGAAGCACACAGAAGCTGGATGTTGGAAACATCTGGGTTTGTGAGAAGTGTGGCAAGAAAGGTCATCCCGGGGATCACTGTTTCTACGTGTGGCGGGGTTGCGGCGATATCCACGATGCTGACAAGCGCCCGATGTAGCGATCTACAGCCAGATCCGCCAATGGTTCAATCCAATTAAACACAGAGGGATGTTGCCCGAGGTGACAGAAAAGGTTTTAAGCTAGGACGCTCGCCGGGTTGGAATCCGGTACGAGCCGAGCGCTCTATGTTACTGCATCTATGCATTTGTGAACAAGACGTCGCTAGATACAGGTAGCAAGCTCCTAGATCCAGTCGATAAAACACGTGATCTACCTGAAGTGTCAGTTGCCACGATCTCTAACTTACGCCAAGTAGACAAATTTTCCAGATCCGATTTTACTTCGCTCTTGGATCTACAGAGGGAAAAATCACGCGGTTATTGGGAGAAACAGCAACATGGGCCTACAGGGAACACGTTAAAGTCCATCAAAGATTGATTTTTTTTTATCAGTACTGGGCTTTTGACGAATCGTATGCGCCCGTAGATAGCTTGTCTACTAGGTAAACAAATCCGTCCTCACGACGATGCTGGAGCGATCGACACCACTTATAACACAAATAACGTGCTGTATAAGCTCTTCAGCTTCATAATTCACGACATGTTTAGACATGTAAGTACCGCCGTTATCAAATCTGTTTCATGTTGTGACCTGATACGCTAATTGTGGTGTCTATATCGTTGCTACTCGTTGTGTGACTGGTTTATGTGTGAGTCTATGTTCCCTCGTGGCTTTGTGGGATCCGATAACGATATTTTCCAAATCCAATACGGGGTCAGAGGGCAGAAGAGCAGTCCATTCGTATGTTAATTATCCGGCTCTCCAGAGTCTGGTCGATGGACTTGACGCGCGGAGCGCTGACTCGCGGCGTCGGCCCGAGAGCTGGTTCGGTGCAGGGATGGCATCTTACCAGGTTATTGCCCATTGCGATCACGGTCGTCACCGTCTGAATGGCGGACGCCATCACAGCCATGTCCACGTGGTTGTTTGGTGCTGTACCGCCGCTCGCAGCGGCACTAGTCATCAATTCAGCACCGTGTTGTGCCTCGTCGCTGCCTTGTTCATCGGGTTCTTGATCCTGGGCTCCCCAACAGCTTCATCATCAGGCACACGACGCTCTCGCTGTACTCGCCATCGGTATTCCCCACGTGCACGCCCATGACGTCCTTCCTTGGCAGCTCCAAGGACCTCCTTTGCTGACGCTTCTTTTTTAGCTCGGCTACCGCCCTAGTCAATCGCTGCATTGTGGCTGCCAACCCCATCATATTTTTACTTTGCACCACTGCCGCGTCTTCGCCACTCTCCTCCGCTTCGCGGCCATGCGTTTAGTCCCTCTCATCGGTGGCTATGACCCGTCCGGGCTCCTTGGTATCCTTGTCCTTCGAGGTCGACCGCTGCTAATTCACCGACGCCCTCCGTTTGATCTTCACCGGCTTCGCTTCAGACTGATCCGTCGCTTGTTGCCGCTTGCCCTCTCCCGTGGGCTCGTCGTGGCGGACACCCTCCGTACGCCTTGGCTTCTCGTTACCGGACGCCCGGACTCGGAGTCCGTGCTGCTGGGTGAGCTCTCTGCTCCGGCCTCCCTGACTTGCCGTGCCTTCTGTGCTTTCTTACTTAGGGCCATGCCGAACCGGGCGTTGATCGTGCCATCCGTGCCATAGGGGTAGGCATCAACTCAGGTGCCATTTTCTTCATGCCGAACCGAAATCGGTTCGTGCCACCGCGCGTGCCATGCAGATTTCGTCGAGCAGCAACGTCTCCCATACGCAGCTTCGCAGCACAAAAATGACTCGCTCTCGCAGCTCGTAGCGGAAGGCCGCTGTGTTGCGGTGGGCACTAAGCACCATTTTGTGATTTCAAGTGGAGCGTTAAGGCCTGCGCGAACGAGGATGGAGGAGCTGGTTGCTTTAGCCGCTGCTGGAAGCAATGCTGTAGCTGGAGATGTTGATACTGGTGACGCACTGTAAATTCGAATGTGGCGGGTGGCATGGCATGGCACTACGCGGAGCCATGGCACTTTCTCGGTGCCATGATGGCAGGTTGCCCCCTAGCCCGCTCATCTGGCAGACCAATCAGATGCCGTCGTGGCACGGATGGCACGACATGGCTCCGGTTCGGCATGGCCCTTAGAGTAGTGACTGTACCATTTGCGTACCTCGTAACCTTTGTAACCCGGCGTAGCCACTAGCCCGACTGCCTTCTTGGAGCGAATATCAGCGAGTTTCCAAGAAACTGGCCCCTACGAGCTTGATGGTCAGGAATGCAGAACTTCAACAGTAGCAGACCATTACGGTCCAGACTTACCAGATACGCAGATTCTTCGAAGTACTTTTCAGGCGTTAATGGAATTGTAACAAGTTGATGACGTGGTCTACCAATGATCTTCCGGTAGAGTGTCAGCTGGCACGTAGCCAGCTTCAACGTGGGAAGAATACGATCAAAGGGTGGAAGGAGCCCAACGGACTCAGCGGACACACGGTTAAGACGGAGATCGCAGACGGCGAGCAGTCGCGACCAGTGACGTTGGACGGCAAGAAGAGTAAGGAGGTGGGGACTTCTGAATTTGCGAAGGACGAGACAAGTAGACTGAGGGGGTGTCGAGAGACGAAAGACAGTCGAGGGCTGGGAGCACAGTCAACGCCAATACAAAGACGACGAAGAGGCTGTTGAGGCACAGAGTGTGTCTGACAGGACGTACGGGGGCTGTGGTAGACACACTGCAGTGCCGTAAGACGAAGGACAAGCAGGATCCAAGGAGGGGAGTGTATAAACGAGCGAAGCGACGTACGGTGAGACCAGACAGGGGAAGCAGAGTACCCGAGCTTGCTGTGGTGGCCGAGGGTAGGCGCCGTGGGCGTACACCCAAGGGGCTTAAGGGATGAGCGCGATCTGGATCGCATCGGGACGTCACGGTGCTTCGGCGAGGACGTGAGTGACCCGACTGGAGACTAGCTGCTCATCGACGACGAAAGAAGAGCGCAACGAAGAGCGAATCTCTGTTAGCTTGCGTAAGATTAGCTAAGGAGAAGGAATACAAAACGTAGGAGCCAAGGGTTCCGGCACAGGGCTCAGTGAAGCATCTGTTGGCAAGTGACGTCTTCTAGTACTGCCAAGTATCAACTACGGAAAAGGGACAGACAGCACGACAGGCACAAAAGCAATACGACTTGCCCAGCGAGTCGGGCAGGAGGAATAGCAACTCGTTACAATGTGATCATACAGAGGCCTGTCTCAGAGCAACGAAGAGTCGGTTCGCGGTGATAAGAAAGACAAAGAGAGCTCGGAAAGACAGGCAGCCCCGCCCCGCTTTATGAATAAAAGGTTTTGTTGCAAATATACGGAAATATTTGTAAGGCATAATTTTATTTTTCCTCGAAGCGATAAAAACGCGGTTTAGCTTTTTGCAGTTTATTTTTTTCAGCTGCGAATTAAACCACGGTGCCAACGTCATGCAAAAAAACAAAGTCTTGTTTCGCTGCTGTGCTGTATATCGCAAAACCAACATCTACAGCTTATTTCGCTGGTCGTATAGCGGCACATTTACATGTTAATCTCACCGTGAGATGATTGGAATATTTTAATTAAATTTGGATCCGTCAAACTCGCCGCGGATTAACTTATTTTGAAGATGACCCAAATGGCATTGTAAAGCAATTATTGGAGGGCCTGGTTTGCATTTCATTTCTTTTGAGATACATCCCCTTGCTCTTTAATGATAGAAAACTTATCGCACACGGCACCAGTGGCACTCTCTACCGTTGGCAATGTGATATTCGTCGGAGTAACCGCCATCATGGTGATGGCGTAGTGCTTGTTGTCCATCAAGACATGCCACTTCGGTGACTTCGGATGTTTGTACTTGTGCAGCCCTTCGGGGCCTCCTGCAGAGCCAGAAATCACGTACACTGGTGCCTTTGGGTTTAGGTAAGTCGCATTGTCTTTGGAGACACCGTCCAGCATGGCGGTGCCGTTCGCCGTCGGGTATTGACGTTCGTACGCATGGACGTGACCTTGTAGAACCAGATCCACCTTGTACTTGATGAACAGTTTCTCGAAAGCCTCTTGCACGTTAAGCGACTCAAAGTCGTTGTTAGGCTTGTCGTCTGCGTCGCATGAACGGATCGTGTACATCGGTCGATGCATTCCGACAACAATCCACGGGACCTGGTCGCGGTTAGCGTCCGCAGCCTTGAGATCAGCTTCGAGCCACGCTAACTGATCGCCGAAGGGGCCGTACACTCGGTGCGTATGGTAGGCGTTACTCGGTGCATTCGGATAATCGGTCTCGGACGAGATCGTCGTGAAGTGTACGGACGCGTACTCGTAGGAATACCACATGTTCAGCACTCCCCCGCTTTCAGGCGCTGGCATCCTGAAGCGCGCGTTGAAAGCCGAGTAATTGCCGAGTTGATTCAGTTTTTTGTCGGAGAGAAGACAAGCTGGGGAATGGCATTCCGCCTCATGGTTTCCCACCAGTACCATGTACGCCATCCGCCTCATGATGTTGGTCATGGAATTTATAAACTTGTTGTACACTTGCTCGTAAAAGAAACCGAAAGCGGATTTAGCTGACAGAAACGCGTCGTCTGCATAGGACACGTCACCGAGATGATAGACGAAGTCCACCTTGTCCACCAGCGAGTTGACGTACTTGTTGGTCTCAACGGCGTTCGCATCGGCTCCCATATCTCCGTACACTGCGATCGTGAATGGACTTTGGTCGCCGCTTTTGCGAGCTGTGGCGAATTTGCTTATAGCACTTCGAAATTTGGCTTCAGAGGCGCTACCGACCTTGTAGAAATACGTTTTATTGGGCTTCAGACCTTCCACAACCGCGTGGTAGCTGTACAGCTCGTAGTGGTCGTCCTTGTAGTATGACTTTGTATCAATAGTAGCATCCTTTACCCGAGTTAGCTTGCTCTCACTTGTGCCAATCCACACCGCTGTGTCTTCTTCAAGAGCAAACGTTGTCCACGATATCGCCATACCCGTTCCGGCTTCTTTGCCGGCAAAAGCCAAGTGAAACTGCTGAGGAATTCGAGTCGAGTCGCTTGTAGAGCTCACACGACACTGTGACGTTCCACACGATCTTGGGAGCTGGAACTCCCACCACGTATATTGAGCTGTTGAAGCAAAATGTGAACTGAGCTACATCTAAACTCTACTCCTCTTTGCTCTCTCCTGCCAGTCCATGGCAGTCCAGGGAGAGGCTTGTTGCACTTGCAGTTGCACTTGCAAGTGCAGCAACAGCTGCATGCTGCAGTTTGTGGCCGAGAACCTGTTGACCATGATCATCAGCAGCTTGCCTGGAAGTACTCGTGTTTAGGACAGCTTGTCCAGGGCTAGCGCCCACCATCACACTGCCCCCCAAGCTTTCATAAGCCACGAAGTGCACGTACTCCATAAATCCTTGTGCGTCGGTAAACTTACCACAAAAAGTTAAAGCCGAAAGAACTGTTGCTGAAATCTCGATCATCTTAAGTCCTTGGTTTCTTACGCTGCAGTACGGCAGCTACTGCGCGCTGCAGGCGTTCGTCGTTTTTGTCGTTGGCATAGTTGTTCATGAGCTGCGGTACATCCTCGCTGAGAACTTTCATCGGTTCCCAAGAGTCCTCAATCTCTTCAAGTCCTTGCCACTTGACCTTGACTTCAAACGCCTTCATGGCATCATGGTAGCGGTGGTCCACTAATGCATCAACTGCCAGCAGTGTTCCTTGTGACGCTACGTGATCGATTAAATCAGTCGAAATGTGGAGAGAAGAATCTGCATAGTGCTTAAGTCGCGATGGATGTACCTTCATCGTCTTTCCTGTCACTAGGTGCTCCACAGCGATATCGATCTCGGTATCACTATGAACGTGCTGTAAATTTCACTGTCGGTGACTACGTCCTTCGGTCTCGTGTAGACGCACGTCTTCCACTACTTTGTGCGTCTTTCGAGCGCTTTGTCGCATCTGACTCAGGTTCTTGTCCAAGTCCGGTCGGTCTTCAGGAAGCGAGACAATGCGGGTCTCGCATGCATGCACAATAGGAAAAGATTCCTTTTCAATGACACTCCAGTTGAGCGCTGACCCTGAGAACGATCCACCCATACAAATTAAAAGCTCATGCTGCTGCTCTTGGATCGGCGTGTCATGTTTCCACTGCCCAACTTGCGTTATCACGAGTCCCCAGCCCGTGTCCGATGCATCAGACAACATACAGAGTTGCTTAGATGGGTCTGGGTACGCTAGCATTGCTGAGTGCGACAGCATTTCTTTTACCTTCACGAACGCCTCCAATTCATCTTCAGAAAAACTCACTCGAATACCTGCAGCGACTCGCTTGTTGCGCTTTGTCCCCTGAAGAGATCGATCCAGTAGTTCTTGTATAGGTTTCACCACACGAGAGTAATCAACAAGTCCATCACGCATCCAATTCGTTGCGCAGACAAACTGTTGTAGTTCAGCTGCTGTCGACGGCACTGGAATCTGTTGAAGTGCCTCAATCCGTTCAGGATCATGACCCACACCGTTCTCGTTGATACTCCGACCGCACCATTTAATCTCAGTCTGAAACAAACTGCACTTTTTCGGGTTCAACTTGAATCCTACTTCGTCAAGCCGATACAGAATAGACTCAATAGCGGTCATGAGCTCATCGACCGTATCACCAAATACGAGCAGATCATCTATCCAAACGAGAACGCATTCATGAAGGTACTCTTTTAGTACTTCCTCCACAGTCGATTGAAAACGCAAAGCTGCATCCGTGCAACCCTGCGGTACTCTTGTTGGAGTAAAAATTCCACGATCCGTCATATATGAGAGCAGTTCTTGAGACTCGATATACAAAGGAAGCTGCCAAAAACCCTTGATAAAATCAAAGATCGCATAGAATTTATTTCCTTTGCACTTCTCCAGTCGAACTTGCAGGCTGGGCATGACACCTGCAATGGGCTCAGTCATATCGTTGAATGGGCGATAATCGTTGGCTTGCCGAAACTCGTTACTACCACATTTCCTCACAGGCAATGCTGCACAGGCCCACCTACTTGCCTTGTTCTCCTTCACCCTCCCCAAACGCACCAGCTCAGCGTTGAACTGTGCCATAAATGCCGATTTCTCGGGACTATATTGACGAACTTTGCACTTGTAAGGCCTTGCATTTGGTTTCAGCCGGATCTTCAGCGGGGGTACTCTTGCAGGAGGGTCGTCACCAAGAATGAGTCTCCATCCTTTAAAAGAAAACAAAATGGCACGCAAACGGTCTACTTCAGCTCCAGGCGAAATAATCTCACGGTTCAAACAGTTTGCAACGATACCATCGATCACTTCTGCCACGTCTGCATCCTGCGTGACGCCACGCACAGGTACCCCAGTTGGTTCTCCAAATGAGTCATCGTCATCGCGATTCTGTGCCGCGAGCTGCTCAAGCTCTCTATCCACATCGATTACTAGTTCCGCCAAAAGCACTCGGCCCACAATCAACTCGTCGTCATCCGACTCGACGATTAGACACCGCTTCTGGTCTTGACATCGTACTGGCCCAGCGGCTGTGTTCAAACACAAATACACATCCGCACCATGAGTTGCCGTAAGGATTGCACCGCCTACCGCTTCCAGTTCCACTGGTTGATCCAATTCCACTTGTACAACCGTACAGTTCGAGAGCCTGTAATTCTTTCATCATCTTCTGAGAAATAATGTTCCAGTCTAAGCCACTGTCAGCGCAGTAATGAACTTCGAGCACCGCATTCAGTGTTGCAGTCGGTCGAATCCGATCGTTGCCCTTTTCACGCGGGTTTACGCGTTTGACCCGAAATCGTTTGGCATTCTGCTTCTTTGGAGCACGCTTGGCCATGATTTCTTCCTTCTCAACTTCGTCAATGTCTGGACACTCACTCAACCAATGATCCTTGCCGCATTTAAAGCAACCACCACGTGGCTTGCCCTTTGCTACTGCATTTGTAATTCCAGTGATTGGAGGCCTCTCACTTCGACGAGCTGCACCAGCGTCTTGCTGTGCTTTCCTTTTGCTCGTCCATGGCTTAGTCTGCGCAGCAGTACGGTCGTTGTCCGACTTCTTCGCCACTCGAACTTCGATGTGCCGCGATGGTTTTCCGTCTGGCTTTGCGTGTTGTTGGCTCCTCGGTATCGAGCGGTGCACAGCATCCTGCTCAAGAGCCTTCTCCCTGACTAGCTTGTACAGAGCTACGTCGTTCTTCGCGCTACTCTTGTCGATGAGCTTCTGGTGAGTCTCCACCTGCTCACGTAGACCTCTTGGCCGCAAATGCTTCTTCAGGATGGTGCACTTATGAGTCATCCCCATTGCCGCAGAGAAAGTACCTTGCAGTCCGTTCTGCAGAATAATTTCCTCACACTTTGGGAAATAATTCACCACTCGTGCCTTGACATCATCTTCTCCTAAATCCATACGAAGCTCCTCGTCAAAAAGCGCATCAATGTTGCCAATGTCGCCGTTTTTCACGGTGTTTACAATCTTGTCGATCTCACTGAGGATTCATTCCTCGGTGACATCTTCAAGTGGTATTTCCCAGTCGTACATGTACTTGCACATCATCTTCAGTAGTTGATGGTCGAAAGTACTATTGACTGTCATCATCGCCTTTGCTTTGTCCTCTCCTGATATCGCACAGCGAGCAGAAATTGCATCCTCGTACTCACGACGTTCCTTCTATCACTGCACCAGCTTGGCGTGAGAGATGTCGGTGATCCAAGGTGGAAGGATGGCCGACGATGTGACTGGCACGCTCGCCATCGACCTTATGTCGCCGCCATCACCTCGACCTCGTTGTCGGGCAGGCTCCGCCGTCGTAATTTCGCTGCGCGTTCTCATCCGTGCTTCACAGATACTATTGTTAACAATGTGACGTTCCACACGCTGGAACTCCCACCAACAGTCAACGTATATTGAGCTGTTGAAGCAAAATGTGAACTGAGCTACATCTAAACTCTACTCCTCTTTGCTCTCTCCTGCCAGTCCATGGCAGTCCAGGGAGAGGCTTGTTGCACTTGCAGTTGCACTTGCAAGTGCAGCAACAGCTGCATGCTGCAGCTTGTGGCCGAGAACCTGTTGACCATGATCATCAGCAGCTTGCCTGGAAGTACTCGTGTTTAGGACAGCTTGTCCAGGGCTAGCGCCCACCATCACAGACACGCGTCTGATGGCGTGTCGTCGCCGAAATGATACTGGATAGAGCATGATGCCTCAGGCTTACAGCTCAGTGAAGCCCAGTGGTAAGCACATGTGCTGTCGTCCACCGCACTACTTGAAGTCTCCGAGGCGGCATCCTGGCGGAACAAATCCTTCACCTTGTCCAAAATGCCACTTGGTTCGGCTGAAGTTGTTGACACGCAGCATACACTCACGGCTATTACAAGTCTTGCCAACGACTGCGTTCGCATCTCTGAGGGTAGCGCCCAGTCGGGTGTTGCGCGCAGTGGTAAATCTGAAAATGACCCTTGTTGCCTCGCTCACGGACGGTGTTCAGGGCACCGGTAGCAAAAGTACTCGATTCCATTGCATCCACCATCTCAAGATTGGGTATCGAGCTGGCCCGCCTCACCAGGAGCTTCATGAGTCAATACCCCTGACGAAGATGCAGCAACCGAGCGAGCAGCACTTGAACCTCCTACAACAACATTGTTGTAGCCAGTTCAGCCATCAAATCAGAAAATATTGAACCGGGATGCAGAGGCAAAGTCAACGCACGTTTTGGTACTTCGTACGCCACGAATGTGGGGCGCTGTAGGAAGTAATATAATAGTTGCTGTCCTTAATCATTGAGCAACGCAAAGGCTTTCATGAGAAAATGCCGTGTAACTTACACAATGGAGAATGGTGAATAAATCGTTTATAACGCACGGTTTTGCATATTAGAACGGATCTTCTTCAGCCCACCTGAGCAATCCGGGAGTTGCGTTTAGATTTACTACTACTACAGTAGTGTATTCCCACATCAGAGGTTGCATGTAAACTCCATAAGCTGAAGTGTGTATCCGTCGTGGCTGTTACGTCCAGCAGAAGAAAAAAAAACAAGCTAGTTAAGCTTTATCGAGTGCTATGTTTAGTCTCCAAACATTTACTGCTAGTGTCGGGCTAATTTTACCGTCATCTAGCATAGTCGACAACCAACAGCTTTTCATGCAGTACCAGACCAACTACCCGTACGCCACGAGCACGCAGCAATGCGGTGCGCTATCTCATGCACGCGAGGAACAGCGACGGCGGCAGCAAGAGTATTCTCAGGCTCTGGCCCAACAGGTCGCACAACGTGAGCAGCAGAAACGCCGCGAGCGAGAACTGGATCAACCGTACGGCAGACGCAACAGCGGATTGCCGAATCCGCCTCAACACCATTTCCGTCAAGAAGCGTTCGAGCCAACTGAACGTGGAATGCTGGGCGGGTTGGGACACAACAACCCTCAAGACACACGACAGAGCTTTGCGCGGGGACAACCGCAGCTCCGTCACCGTCTACCTGGTGGTCCCGAATCCTTTGACTATTCTGCAGCAAATACTTTCATGCCAACGTACAATGCCCCTCCTGTGCAGCATCGACCTTCTGTAGATAATAACCAAGCTTTCCGAAATGGATTTGGAGTTCCCCAGCAACCTCATCCAATGCCACAGCAAAGCTGGCCACCACCACAACAGCAGCAACAACCTCTCAATAATGACCCCATGTCCGGGATGGTTGGGCCGCCCCCTTTTGGACCAGGCTCAGACATGCAAATGGGTTGGGGCGCTCCAACTTCTCACCAAAATGCTATGGCACCGACGAGAAACAGTCAATTCTGGGCAGGTCCGGGTACGACCGAGCAAGCTGCACCACCGGCAGTGTACCCTAACTACGGGTCTCCGCAGCGACAGCACTTCCAGCCAGGGAAGCCTCAAGAGGACCCGTCTAGACACCCAAACGCGCAGAATGCTGGACGTCGTCAGCGAACAGACATCCACGATGGGGGCCGAGGAGACTCGGAGGATGCCGAGAGGCTTCGTCGGAAACAGCAGCAGCAACTCGAGATGCAACTCGCTCTGGAGCGACAAATTGAGGAGAAGAGACAGCAGAAGCTGGAGGCTAAGCGACGACAGGAAGAAGAAGATCGACGAGAACTTGAACGCTTCGAGGAGGAGCAACGTCGGCAACGAGCGGAGCAGGAGCGACTTCAGGAGGAGAAACGTCGGAAGGCGGCACTGGAACAGCAGAAGGCGGACCAGGCTGCAGCAGCGGTGGCGGCGGCCAACGCGCAAGCCAAACGCCAGCAGCAACAGAAACTGCACGCTCAGCTGAATCAACCTCAACAAGTCCAGCCATTGCAACAGCAGAACCTGCACCCTCAACATCCTGAGCTCTTTCCGAACGCCTCTCCGCTCAAGAACCCGCTCACCAACTCCCGTGCTCACTTGTTCGAAGACCCCCCAGAGCCTCCACAATCCCCAGTGGCTCCAAACTATAGCTACGGATACTCCCACCAGAACGCGTCTCCAATCCGAGGACACCCAGGCCAACCCTTTGCGCAAGACAATAATGCTGGCCATGTTCTTGACCCCAAGGAGCTACGTCGTCAGTACGACGATATGCGCGACGAGTTGAGCAGACAGAGACACCTCGTCGACCAGCTCCGCCAAGCTCAAGCTCAGATCCAGCAACAGCGTTCGCCTGTGCGAGTGGTGAGCGACAATGTCCCCACGCTGATGGATCTCGAGCAACTCCGCAACGAACTACGTGGCGAACTTGCGTATCGCGAACAGCTGCACCGACAGGAACTAGAGTCGCTGAAACGAGAGCAGCAACAAGGAGACAGATTGCCTGAGCGCCCACCTCAGCGCTACCCACGAGTGAGGAATTCTTTAGAGCTACCGACCCGAATTCCCAACAGAGTTGAGCGTGTTTCGTCGCATCCAGTGGCTATTCAAGGGCAGGAAGAATCGATATGGCAACGAGGGTTTCCAGTAAGGAGACCACAGACTTTGCGCTCCAGTATCAAAGAAGTGGATCATCGCCATGGAATGCCACTTGATGAGAGCGTAATGTCGTTGCGGGGTGAAAGCAAGTTTGTATATTTTGATGATGGACAGGACGGGGAAGCACTGGAAGAGCACAGTGACTCGACGAAAGTGAAGGCGCCTCTACTCTCCCAAAAGACCATTCAGAAGAGTGTCCAGTTCTCACCGACAAGGAAAGCTAGCGTCAAGCAGTCTGTCGCTGTAACGAGGTCGGTCTCTCCCCGAAGATCAGCGCAAAGTGAAGCTTCTGATACTGACAGCGACGACGAAGATCGTGGTTTTGTCGTGGCAGGCATCACGTCTTCTCCGTCGCACCAGCAGTTGACCTCTTCGCCAACATCTCATCGCGCCAGATCTGCAGCGAGCAGCCATCGGTACTCGCAGTTGCCACCAGCTTTGGCTTCGTCTTCATCTTTAAAGTCCTCGAATAAGTGGCGTCTTGAATCTATGGGCGCCAACGATAGTGACGAGGATCTGGATCAAAGTTTGGATGGCGATCAGCTCGAAGCTCTTTTCCAACGTAACGTCCGTCGGCACGAGATACTTTTAGGATTTCAGAGCAAGTTTCAAGGGCAGCCGCAATGCTCAAAGCAACTGAAAGACAATCGATCTCCCCACGCTAAACTGGCGTGGGCAGCGCTGCACCAGCAACTCGAGAGCAATAGACGGAAGTCGACGCTTTCCCAGCGACGGAAGCTGAGCGCAGCGTCGAACGAGTCAAATCCGGAACAAACTTTTGACGACGAAGCTGCGCTCGTGGCGCCATCAACGTGGAAGCTGCCTCTCCAACCAAGGAAGAGAGCAATCAACAGATAAATGGCCAGGTTGTTCTGGTTGTCGTTGACCCCATTAGACGCCTAAGTTGCTCTAATAGTCTATCACCCCCCCCCCTTCGTGCATGCAAGTAATTCGCTCTCTCTTGATGCCTTTTCTGGCCAACACAAAACTGCACTACACAAAACCCACACTTAGCTTATCACCAGTGAAGCCACGATAGCCAGCTGTGGTCCTGCTGGCTATCGTCGCTGTCATTGTCGCCCCAGTGGCCGCTCCAGTGCTGGTTGCTGCCCTGGTTGCCCCCGTTGCCGTTCCAATACGGGTTGCTGCCCTGGTTGCTCGATGGAGTAGCCGTCGTGGTGGCGGGGGTGGCCGTGGTCGAGACCGGAGTCGTCGTGGAAGTGTCAGTGCTAGTTTGTGTAGCAACCGGGGTCTCGGTGGCGACGGGAGCCTCGGTCACAGGGACGACCGTAGCGGCATCCTCGCTACCCGTGCTCGACGTACCAGAGCTAGTGAACGGAGCCGAACCCGTCGAGTCCGAGCCGGGGAGGCTCAAAGAAGCAGTCGAGCCGGAGGTTGAGGCGCCAACCGAGCCCAAGGTCGAAGCGGACGCTGAAGCCGAAGCAGAGACCGACGAGCCGGCGTCTACCGAGCCCGATGATGAGCCCGTGCAAGCCACAGACTTCTCGAGAAGCATCGCCACATCACCGTAGCTCAAACCGATGCTGGTCACCGTATCAGCGGCAGGTTTGGCCTTAGGGAACCACAGGAAGTCCGGGTGGTCGTCGTCCGAATCGTAGACCCACTCACCGCCGATGATTGCTCCGTCGTCGTCCATCTCCAGCAGGTACGTGTAGTAGGCACCTGTCGTGTACGAGTCCACCTTTTCCCGAAGACACTAGACCGCCATCCGTGTATGTCTCGAAGATCCACGACAAACGCGTCTTGACGTACACGATGCTCTTGGCTGCAGCGTTCCACGGATACTCCTCAAGGCCGTAGAATGTCTGCGCTGCCTCCTCCAGAGTCATCTCCGTCTGCTCGTACACCTTGAATCCACGTACCGGCTGGTTCCAAACCTCCGCACCGGCCGTGACATCAGCGACGAAGGTGGCGTTCAGTTTACCGAGCAAATTGGACGCGGCAATGTGGAAGTACGCAGGGTTCAAGTCACGGTACGCATCACTCGAGTGACGGCCGTACTCGTCCGTCGAGTCGGTGCCGCCATTGAAGCGGGTGCCGGTGAACACCGTCGATACCGATGCGCCATCGTAGACGTCCGAGATCAATGCCTTAAGGTCCATAGGCTGGAACGTCACTCCGTTGTGCGTCACTGCACACTTTGGTTCTTCCTCGATCATGGCAGCAGGTGCCCACGCGTGGCAGATGCCGAACCAGGTAGGAATACAGTAGCCAGAACTTTTACCCGCACGGATGGCGCACGAGCTGCCGTCCGTGAGCGACGAGCAGTCACTGTCGGAAGAGCAAACCGTGCGGCTGCTCATCGAATCGACACCGTTGTCAGCCGATACCTTGTTCATGAAGTCGTCCACGTCCAGGCCGAAGGCCGTGGCGTATTTTTCGGCGGGACTCGGTTCGCCGGCACTCCAGATAACGTTGATACTGTCCTGGTACGTGGGCCAGTACGGACCGGGCCACGGCGACGGAGTGTGGACACCCACGGTGGGCAGATGGGCGAGAGTCGACTCCATGGACGTACCGAAGTAGGCCTCCAGCTTGGCGATGTCTTTGTTGGTGTTGGCCTCGAGCTGACGTTTCTTCTCGAACTTCTCCTCTAGTCTGCGGCCGGACATGGGCGAGTGACGCAACTTGCGACTGCTTTCTTCTTCCCAGCCAGTGGCGCAGTTGGGTTCCTCCTTAGAGGCGTCATCCACGCTTGGGGCAGTGGGCGGGGTGACTACGCCAGTTTTGGTCGGCGAGGCCGTGGCGCTTGTCTCGACATCGGATGAACCAGCAACGTCGAGCGAAGTAGTCGGTGCCGACGTGACCCCCGTCTTGGTTGACGGTGCGGAGGTCGATTTAGCGTCCTCCGTCGAGGAACCAGCCACGCTGCTGTATGACGTGGAAGGAGCTGTCGGCGCCGTTGTAACTTCAATGTTTGTGGAGGAGGAAGTCTCATCAGCACTCGGAGCTGCAGTCGTAGTCGTCACGCCAGTCTTGGGAGGCGAGGCAGTAGCGGTGGTTTCAACATTGGACGATCCAGCAACGCTGGTCGAAGTGGTAGGGGCAGTCGTGACACCGGTCTTGGTGGACGGTGAGATAGTCAGGTTAGTTTCTTCAGCCAAAGACCCAGCCATACTACTTGACGACGTGGAAGGAGCTGTTGTGACACCTGTCTTCGTGGTCGACGTGGTCTCCTCGGCCGAAGAACCAGCGACACTGCTGGAAGCGGACGGGTTGATGTTGATACCCGTCTTGGTGGACGTTGTGGTAGACGTCGAAGTGGACGTCTGAGAAACGGTTGTGCCGCTTTTGGTGTGCGTCGTCTTACCCCCCGAGGACGACGTGGTGGACGACTGGGTCGACTGCGTGGTGGACGTCGAGGTGGAAGTGGTGGTTGTCGTCGTGTACGCATCCTGGTTAGCGTCTGTAGCTGGGATGGTCTCGCACAGGACCGCCTTGCCCACCAAAGTGGAGACGGCCTCGGTAGGGGCCGTGCTGGTGTTGGCCAGTAGCTCCGTGTAGGTCACAGTTACAGTCGAGATGGTAGTGATATCGGGTAGCGTGGGGTCAACCTCCACAGTGATGGCGCAGTCCTGGTCGGTGACTTGTCCGCCACGAGCCGGGAATTTGCTGCTGATCTCGTCCGTGGTGTTGGCCGAAGTCACAGGGTCATAGAAGAGCGACGTGCACGATACCTGTTGCATCTGCATGGCCACCAGGGCAGCGGCCGCCGAGATGAGGTAGCGGCGCAGCTTGTACACCATGTTGCTGGCGTCGATCCAACGAAGAGCTGAAGCTGCTACTTGCGTCGAAGGAAGAGTGGCCGAGTAATTTCCTCTACAGCGTCGAAGGAACAGTGGCCGAGTAATTTCCTCTACAGCGAGAAAATTGGGGAATGACCGCGTCCTCTACGAGCCAGCAGGTGCCGAACAGTGCATGAGAGTGCGCTGACCCGGAACGTGAGACTGGCCGTCTCGGCAGTCGGAGTCGAGCGTGACATCCTGTGGTAGAACTGCTGGACGCCACCTACCGGCTGGTAGCAAAAGCACATGGGATATGCGCAGAACGCCAGAGGACGAGGACATCCAGCTGTGTGGCTCGCCTTTGCCGTCTGAATCGAAGCAGCAGCTCTAGCCACAAAAAGCAGCTTCGGCGAAGCGCACAGCATTCGAGGCGGCACACCGGTACTTTAATAACTAAAGTACATGGAGGCTACATGCTGTATGGATAGCAGCGGTGAGTTTTCATGGCCGGCTAGCTCGTTATGCTGTACATGTATTCTAATAATTTCTGTGCGCATTATTTTATAATAATAGGAAGCAATCATAGCTGTCGGTATCGGGACGCGAGCGCGATTAACACAGCAGCGACGCTAGAATTTGTAAGAACCACCGTGCGTTGCGTTTTTTTAAGTTTAAAACTTTTCAAGAAAAAGATATACCGGTAATTCTATCTGTATCTGATAAAAGTTAAGTACTACCACAAGTACTGCAAAATCTACCGGTATGATTTGGAGGGTACGGAGCATTAATACCGGTATTGTAGAACTGTTCCGGTAGACGTGGATTTTGTTGTTGCATTGTGGTCGATGAGCAGCGAGCTTATTTCGGGATTCGTAGAGTAGAATGGAGTGCTGGTACCAGCAGTGCTGGTGCTGGCAGCACCTCACTGGAGCGCGCAGTCGCACAGCTTGTCCCACCGGGTCGTTAGTGAGCCACCCTGTGGACGCGCTCTCAAGCTTGCTGTTCACTCTGAGAGAGCTGCTGCATCAGGAGTGTCCAATTGTTGACCCGCCACGCCACCGCAGCTGGCACGCACGATACATTTACTGTACTGTGTAGTCGACTACTACACAGTACAGTAAATGGGTCGTACTACTAGTAGTAATTTACTAGTAGTCTGTACTTCACGATCCATGCTTCATGCTGCATGAAGTGATCTGGTGTACCATCAGAGGCAGAGCTACTTTTAAAACCGGTATTTTCCAGAGTCAATGAACGATTAAAACACATAGACAAGCTATCGGTACAGTCCATGTAAAATGGAGCTGATCCTCAAATATACTTAAAAATCGAGCGAGATGCTATTAATTCATGTATTTACTTTTATTAAACCGGTAGTAGCTACCTGGATACTTAAAGCTTTAAGTTTAGAATTTTATTTACCGGTACTTATGTTTCAAAATTCATGTAATGCACATGTTCCAGTATTATTTCTAATCTTATTTTACGTACCGGTATCCATGTACCCACCATAAAACTCTTTTTGTTTGAAGCTTTGTTCCATTTTTGGAGCTGAGCAATAATGCCTGTGCCGTACATCAACTTTACACAACGCTGCAAGCCTGAAAAGCTGTTTAGGCAAATATTTGAAAGAGGCACGTAATTCCTGACCTCTGGCCCAGAGGGTAATGTCGCCACTTGATACTCATCCAGCAGTTGTGACTGCGCTGCATGCTGGCCCACCAGGCTGGTACATATGTAGTACCAGCGCCTGCATGTCTGTTTTTCGTACTGGGCGCTGAACCGTTCAGCGTTCAGTGAACGCTCTCCGGATCGAGAACGCCTTACGGCCACAATACAGTGTGGCCATGGCACAATAAGTCTGCGTCAGCACCATAAAATCTGATCACCACAACGGTGCGCTGGGCAGCACATTTCGCAGCACAATACAAGCAGAAAGCGCAGGAAGCGTGCAAAAAGGCCGCGGTTAGGGTAAATCTGGTCGCTCTGAGGCAATTTTCGTGTGACCCACAGCATTCCTGGAAAGCACAACTACCGAGGATGCCGCCGAGAGTTAGCTGGCGAGAGATCACTGTAGATGTCCACGCCGCCGAAGCGGAGGCGGTATTGGCTAGGTTCACGTCGTTCGACATCTACAAGAGCCAAGCAATGGGGTGCACCATATGCCCCGGTGCCGACCACAAGATGCGTTATCGTCTACTAGAGTGCAGCTCTACTTTCTGCGCCGAAGCGAGCCCACCGAAGTGCTCATGGCGGGGGAAGATGGTGACGTGCCTGGACAACGACCACTCCTCCATCTTTGAGTTCGGTCAGCACAGCTCACCTGCCGCGACCCCAGCCTCCAAGAAACTCACTCTTCGGCACAAGGCCTTCTGTCGTGACCTGGTCGAGCAACGTCTGAGACCGATTCGCATCAGACACGCGCTTGCTCGCAAGTTCGGCACCCCTCTTGAAGAGCTGCCAGCGTTGAAAACCGTCCGAAACTTTGTGAACCATTACAGCCGCACTCAAATGGAGAATCATGACCGCGTCCAGGAGCTCTCCGCTTGGGTCCGTGACCATGCCTACACCGGGAGCGAGGGCATGACCGAGCCGTTTACATTTGCGTGGCACATGGACAATCAGGGTAAGCCCATCATCGGAAACGGCTCGGACAAGCGGCCGTTCCTGGTGGGCATCAGCACGAAGGCCCTGTTGTTGAGGCTGTCCGTGCCCCCCGAGAGTTTTATTCTCCACCTAGACGGAACTTATAAAACCAACCAGAGCGACTACCCCGTGCTGGTGGTCGGGGTATCGGACCGCTCGCGTCGGTTCCACCTTGTTGCGCTCTTCGTTATGTCCCAGGAGACGCAGCCCATGTTCCAGGCTGCGCTCATGGCGCTTTGTCGAGTGTACCGTTGGGTCACTGACAAGCATCTATCCGTGTACTACGCTATGGCCGATGCCGATAGAGCCCAGTACAACGCCCTCGCTGCCGTCTTCGGCGACAACCTGAAGTACCAGTTCCTGATGTGCTTCTTTCACGTGATGAAGCACATCCAGGAACATGTGAAGCTACTTTCTTCTGGTGCACAGGCTAGAGTATTACGCGAGCTATACGATCTGCATTTCGCGCGGAGTTACTCAGAGTATATAGGGATGCTGAGACCAATCTTGTCGGGGTGGATGAGGGACCCAACTTTAGTTCCGTTCGCGCAGTACATACACGGGCAATGGCTGACGAGTCCCTTCATGGCGTGGCAGGTGTTCATGACGCCGAGTGGCTTCGCATCCACAAACAATCCCGCAGAAACGTTCAAACGCGCTGTTTAAGCGCGATTACACGGCGCGTCGCAGGCTTAAGATGGGCACTCTTCTTCGAGAGCTAAGCGCGTGCTGCCGAGATCAATCAAGTAGTGCCAAGGCGTTCGAGTTTACTGTGTGCCCCGCACCAACCCTCGCGCGTAGGGTCTCCGAGTTGGTTCGGGAGAAGTTGCTGGGTGTCGGCGAAGACCAAGACCTTGACGCTCTGCGCGCTGGAGCCTGCTGCATCCTCAGGGTTATATCGCTCCCAGCACCGCGTGTGCAGGTCGCGCCCAACAACCGTAGCGAAGAAGCCATCGCAGTGACGGCGCAGATGGGCGTCAATTACGCGCGGAAGGAATTTGAAGGAGAACCGTCGGATGGCTGGCCTGTTGACGTCCTACGGCAATGGTGCCCATGCCGCTACTGGTTTGCCTTTGGTGCGTGCATCCACGTATTGTTCGCTCTACGCGTCACTGCACATGTCGACAGCAGTGGCCGAGAGGTTTTAATCAACCGCCGCAAGCGCAAACGCGGAGAAGTCACGGTCCTACCGGATATTGGTCGTCCACGCACAAATGGTGCTGCACTCAGCTTCGACTGACCCAGTGCATGCAATCTGTCGAACTACGGCGATGTCTGATCATGTGCATATCTACTAGCATGCGTCTAATGCAATACGTGTGAGGGATCTGCAAATACATTTACATGTCTTACGGTTAGATCCAGCATTCATATACGTCGAGTAATGGTGGCTTTCAAAGATCATCTTACCGCGTTAGCACATGTACAATGCTGTAGACGCGAGGACTTCCATCTCCCTACTCTTCTTCGCCAGACCCACTTGATGTAGAAGAACCTCCACGCACGTCCACCGAGCCGGATGAACCCGTCAGCGAACCCCCACCGCTCACGATAACACTTCCTCCTGCCTCGGCCGCGCCGCTGGAACCGCCGGCCGCGCTCACCAGGCCACTGGCACCCGTATCGCTAGAGCCTCTAACCACACGCACAGCGCCAGCTCCGCTCGCGCCCGCAACAGACGACCCGAGCGTCACGTCACCGCTCATGGCTGAGTCGTCGATGCCGCTGCCACTCAACACAGACACCGAGCCGCCCTGTACGACGCCAGCGCCACTACGCCGCCTGCGCTGTCTCCCGCAGAGCTCCCGCCCGCCAACCGAACGGCGCCCGCGACTACTTCTGTCGAAAGAGACGTCGGCAGCCCAGACGATCCGCCGAGCATCACGTCGTTCGCTACAGATTCAGCACTGGAGCCACCACGCACGTCGATTTTGCCGCCGTCGGTCACAGACGACCCCACCGACAAGCTGATGCTTCCTGCCGAGTCAGTGCTGTCCGAGCCAGTCGCAGCGCCGGACGAAATACAGACGCCGCCCGACCCAACTCCAGCCGGGCTCGACACACGCACCACACCGCTGCTACTCGAGCCTTCCCCGCTACCCAACGCCAGTGACGCACCACTTCCCGACGCACTCGCGCCACCGGACATCGTTTCGTCGCCTCCCGTCGCACCAGCACCACCAGCTACAGCAAGCGAGCCACCCACGTCGTCGGAGCTGCCACCGCCCAACACACGCACAGACCCACCAGCACCTGCAGCCTCGCCGCTAGACACAATCACCGACCCACTCAACTGCGCAAGCAACGCGCCAGAACCGATCGCAACAGAGCCAGACGAGCCCGCATCGACCGACTCACTCGTTAACGATACAGCACCGCTGCTCGCGGAAGTCGCGCCCCCGTGAAAGCTTAACGTCACCGAGCCGCTCTCCGTCGTTACGCCGTCGCCACTCAGTATCGTCATGCTGCCGCCAGTCAACGACGTCGAGACGCCACCCACCACAGACACCGCAGAGCCTTCTCCGAGCAAGGAAGCACCACCTGACACATCGATTGATTCAGCACTAGTGTCAACAGATCCGCTATCGATACGAACGGACCCGCTTGCTGGTGGAATGACTGATTCTAGAGTGCCTCAGAGTGGTGTGGACTACACCGGTCGTGCTGGCAAGTTGGCACCGGAGCCTACCCTATTGTGGGTGATGGGCCACTGTGTTGATCAGATTTGCGTTTGTGTTTTGTATATTTCCTCCTCCGGATCCCGCCACCTTCAACGATCTGGCTCAGTCCGCCCAGTAAATGCCCATTTCGACCGGTCAAGATCGCGCTGCACTTTGATGGTCGATCATTAAGGGTAGAGAGTGAAGTCACCGGCGGTGAAGTCTGCGCAGAATACCATGCAACTGTAGCACTGCAGTAAAACAGCAGCCCTCATCTGAGTTGAAGGAAGTCGATGTGGCCGAGATCATGGTCTTGACGCATTGATTAAGGTGCAACTCGGTGAATATGCATGATTACCGGTATTGCTCATCACTACGGTACAAAAGTTAATACATGGTAGCTACTTAACACTTGATAGCAGGAAGTTGGCCATGCAATGGTAACTTTCATTGAGACTGAACCCGTAACGCGCTAACAGCTCGGTGTTCACACCATCACAAATACAAGTGACTCTATCTCACTGAATATCACTTACGGCACTCCTGCAGCAGCTCCACTTACCACCAGTGGAAGAAGGACTGGTACCATTGACGCGGGTGATCGCTGTTTTCGAACTGCTGCTGCTGCTGTTGCTGCTGCTGCTGGTATTGCTGGTAGTGGTTATCGTTCTGGTTGTTGTTGCCACCGTTGTTGCCACCCTGATTGCCGCCATTGTTCGACGGGGTAGCTGTAGTCGCGGCGGGGGGCGCCGTGGTCGAGGCCGGAGCCGTAGTCGCGCCACCGTTCTGCGTAGTAGCGACCGGGGTCTCGGTAGCAGGGGCCTCGGTAGCAGGGGCCTCAGTAGCCGGGACCTCCGTAGCTGCGCTACCCCCGTTCGAAGCGGTCGAACTCGTGAAAGGCACGTCCGTCGTCGATCCCGTCGAAGTTGAGGCAGAGCTCGTGGCTGAGCCGGAAGTCGAAGCACCAACCGATCCCGAGGTCGAGGTTGCCGCAGAAGCAGAAGCCGAAGCCGAAGACGAGCCAGCCGATCCAGAAGCCGAAGCGGAGTCGGAGCAAGCGACCGACTTCTTTAGAAGCATACTCACATCCGCGTAGCTCAGTCCAATGCTGGTCACCATGTCAGCAGCAGGCTTGGACTTCGCAAACCAGAGGAAGTCAGGGTGGTCACTGTCCGAGCTGTAGACCCATTCACCGCCGATGATCTCGCCAGCGTCGTCTAGCTCAAGCAAGTAGTAGTAGTACTTGCCGGTCGTGTAGCGATCAACCTCACCCGAGGACACAAGGCCGCCGTCCGTGTACGTCTCGAAGATCCACGAGAGACGCGACTTCACGTACACGATGCTCTTGGCGGCGGCGTTCCACGGGTACTCCTCAAGGCCGTAGAACGTCTGAGCAGCTTCCTCGAGCGACATAGCGGTCTGCTCGTACACCTTGAACCCACGCACGGGCTGGTTCCACACCTCTGCGGCGGCGTCGACGTCAGCCACAAAGGTGGCGTTCAGCTTACCCAGAATGTTAGCAGACGCAATGTGGAAGTAGGCAGGGTTCAGGTCACGGTAGGCAGCGTTCGTGTGGCGGCCGTACTCATCGGCGCCATCGTCGCCGCCGTTGTAGCGCGCACCAGTGAACACAGTTGCGACGCCAGCGCCATCGTAGACGTTGGAGATCAATCCCTTGATGTCCAGAGGCTGGAACGTCACACCGTTGTACGTCACCGGGCAAGTAGGCTCTGCTTCGAGAATAGCAGCAGGGGCCCAGGCGTGACAGATACCAAACCACGCCGGGATACAGTAGCCCGAGCTCTTGCCGTCACGGATAGCACACTTGCTGCCGTTGTTTAGGGACTCGCAGCCCTCATCCGTCTGGCACTGTTTGCGTTTGCTCCCCGAGTCAACTCCGTTGTCCTTGGATACCTTGTCCATAAACTCCTTCACGTCCAGACCGAAGGCCTTGGCGTACTTCTCAGCGGGGCTGGGTTGTCCCTGGCTCCAGACAACGTTGATGCTGTCCTGGTAGGTCGGCCAGTACGGAGCAGGCCACGGCGCAGGCGTGAACACACCCTGGGTAGGCAAGTCCTTCAACGTCATCTCCATCTTGGTGCCAAAGTAGGCCTCCAGCTTAGCGATGTCCTTGTTCGCGTAGGCTTCAAGACGGCGCTTCTTCTCGAGGTTCTCCTCGAGGTCGTGGCCCGATACAACGCTGTCGCGCAGCTTACGGGTGGCCGTTGCCGGCTCCTCCCACCCAGTGGCGCAGTCCTTGGGCTTAGCTCCACCCTTGACAGTTGACGGCGTCGTGGTATCAGTGGTGGTACCAGTCTTGGACGGAGCAGCGGTGACGTTCGAAGTGCCCGTCTTGGTAGCCGGCGGGTTCACCTCCGTCGAGCCCTGGGTCGGCGAGCCTGAGGTGATGTACGCATCTTGATCGGCATCAGTGTTCGGAGTCTCCGCCGAGAGCACAACAGTGCCCACCTTGGTGTGCACCGGCTCGGTAGGGGGCGTAGTCAAGTTGGCAAGCAGCTCCGGGTAAGTCACCGGCACCGTCGAGATGGTGGTGATGTCCGGCAACGTCGGGTCAACCTCCACCTCGATGGCACAATCCTGGTCAGGAACTTCGCCACCAGCAAATGGTGACGATTTGGAGATCGTATCGGCCGTCTTTGACACGGTGGTCACTCCGTAGTACAGCGACGCGGCAGAAGCGTGCTGCATCTGCAGCGCCACGACAGCGACGGCAGCGGAGACGAGATAGGTGCTGGGCGAGAATACCATGTTGCAAAGAGAGTCGATCTAGAGATCCGGAAGGGATAGCGCGTCAACCTGGAACGGAGGAAGGCTTTGTAATCTTCTCGACGACGAGAAAATTGGGGAATGACCATCCTGCTGGTGGGGGTACTGTACGTTGGATATCCATGTAGCGCGAGATTTGCAGCAAAGAGAGTGAGTGCGAGGCAACGTTACTGTAAAGGCACCAAAAAAGCGAGGCAAGGACTTCTCTATTACAAGTAAATGTATCGGAAGTTTGGCAGTGTAGAAGCAAGGAGCTCTTGTCAATACACTTAAGTACAGAACAGTGTGGCCGTGTGAGTCACTGAGTGGCCGGCTTTGCGTCTTGCTGTCCGCACGCCACTTCATCTTGCACAGTCTCTCGTCGTTAGACTAATTTTCAAAAGGCCCTCTTCGGTGCAAAGAGAGTTCGAAACCGTGAGTAACCTGCGAACGACACGCGTCCTCTTCATGTCATGCAGTTCTCTGCAGCCCAGCCGCTTGATCTCTTGATGTTTTCGGTGTCCACGGATGACTTCGCTTTGAACCCACGGGACAAGCGAGGAGACTGCGTCGAGGTCCACACACAGCTCACATTGCGATCCTCTGCGTGCACACGAATTGTTCATACGTGCGGTCTCAACTTGTCACTGACAAGCACCGGCATGCTGGCATCGGATCATCTCCACAGTAACATGGTCTGTTCGTCGTGCATTTTGCCCCCTGACAGGTCAATTATCCAACCATCCGGCTAGGGCGAACCCCCGGCTTTTTGCCCTAGAGAAGTTATGGAAAATTCACTGCAATCATCCTAGAAAGTGTCAATTCACTGGAACCAAAGATAATCCACAGCCTAGAACTCTCAACAAAACTACATGTATCCGGTGAGGCGATGTGTCTGGAACATGCTGCAATCTTCTTGGCACTTTGCCGTAATTATATTATTCTTGTAGTAGTGTATTAGAATACATGTTAAAATAGTGCATGCACTGTAGTATATTAACATCGCACGAGGGAGTACTGTTTACACCAGTCTTTGTTAACAAAACACCAAAAGTATACTACCAGCACCCCAGAAATCCATGTGGCACCGACCGATACCTATCAGCCACTTGTTATTGTGATTGTGACACCACCAGACCACCACCACCACTCTTGTCCCGGAGACGCTAGCTCGGTAGATTATTTTGGCCAATGGTCAAAGTTCTATCACAAAAGTAGCATCCAGTAATACTCGAGGGGTTCGGGCTTTCCTTTACTATCCACCATTCAGCAATCTCACCCCGCTCAGCCAGCCCCCAACACCCCTCATGGTTTTCCGACACCATTGGCAGACACTCGCGGCTGCGACGCCCCAGATCGAGGCCGACCGTCTACTCGGAGGCCTTAAGAAGTTCCGTGTTGCGAAAAGTGATCTGAAACAGTGCTATGTATGCATGAACGCCACTCCGCAGCCAATGCGGATGCAGCGCCTGGCTTGCGCGTGCAAGGCCTGCGAGGACGTCTCGAGAGCTGCTGTCTGCCCCTGGAAAGGTCGCGTCATGACGTGCCAGCAGACGCATCTCGTAACGATCGAAGAAGCCTACACCCATGCTACCCCTGCCCGCGTCGCAAGCGCCCCCGTGCTAACAAACGCAATGAAAACGGCAGTGATGGATTGGGCTAGTCAAGGTCTCAAGCCAAAAAGGATTTGGAGCGCGCTAACCCAGCGTTTCAATCTAACTGAGGCCACTGTACCACCGCTGGGGAGAGTCCAGCGCTTTGCGCATCACCATGTCGCGGGGCGGCTTGGTGGCAGCGACCTGCGTGCCGCCGTTCACCGTAAGGTGCAGGAAACCTTTTTTACCGGTCAAGAAGAAGAGGCAGCTGCGTTCACGTTTACGAAGCGCACAGATGTGAATGGCAATGCTGTCATAGGCAACGGGAGCGACGCTAATCCCTTCGTGATTGGAATTAGCACGAAGAAACTTCTACGCCGTGCCAATCGGGACGCTGCATCATTTATCCTACACTTGGACGCCACGTACAAGCTCACTCAAGTAGGCTACCCGGTCATCGTTGCTGGCATCTCAGATAGAGCGAGACACTTCCATCTCTTGGCGGTCTTTATTGTGTCGCAGCAGCAACAAGACCAGCACACCGAGGTGCTCCAGCTACTTCGCCGCGTTTATCTTACTGTGGTGGGTAAGCCTCTTACTGTTCGCTACGTGATGGGTGATGCCGACGCAGCCTAGTGGAATGCCGTTGAAGAGGTGTTTGGGACAGACTGCGAGTATACATACTTGATGTGTTACTTTCATGTGGCCACGAAGATATTCGAGAAAACACGCTCCATGGATTTCAGCATAGCAACATCGGTAGTGGCTGATGTCCACGACTTGCACTATACCACGAGCGACGTCGCCTTCCAGGATAAGCTAACTGCAGTGCAAGAGCGCTGGGCAAAGCGCAAGGATCTAGAGGACTTCTCGAAGTACATTTCGAAAGTGTGGTTGAACCAACGATTCGGGCGGTGGCAGTGCTTCCACACACAAAGCGGTTTCGCAACCACCAATAACCCCTGCGAGACTTACAACGCTGCGATTAAAAGAGACGTCACTCTGCGTCGAAAGCTCAAGGTCGGCGCTCTCATACCACTTCTGAGGGTCCTATGTGAAAGCGAAAGTGTCGCTGCAAGACCCTTCACAGCTACTTGCGAGCCAGACGCAAGACTTGTGCGACGCGTCAAAGCGATGGCTAGAGCTGGGCTACTGTCAGTGTACGTCACCTCGAGAAATAGCATTGCTTTCCTGCTATCCAATCCTCCCGACGTTTCGTCACGTGACGTAGTCGATGTTGTTAGTCATCCATCGCCCCGCGCTTATGACGCAATGAGAAAGAAGACAGTAGAGGACCTTCCGATCTCTTCACAACTGAGCAAGCTCACTGCAAATATGGAGACGCAGGGAATGCCTGCATCGGGTTGGCCCGTGGATATGCAATCTTGCTCGTGTCCGTGCAACCTTTGGTTCAAGTACGGATCCTGCATCCACACGCTGTACGCTATGGAGGTGCGCGGCGTTACTGACATACACGGAAGAGAAACGCTGGTTTACAGAGGGGCGAAGTCGCGTAGAGGTGCATCGGGAAGTGCTGGTAGGCCGCGCGCAATTGGTCCGGCGTTAGAAATAGAGTAACAATACTTCATGAGTAGTATAGAAACTTGCTGCAGCAACGGTGAACGCATTCATGAATTCAGGTTGTTATCCCTAAACAAGAGTCGGCTACGGGAATTCTGGTTTGTAGAAGTGATTCAGTAGCTACCGTACTGATGCAAACAACTCACAAAGATGGTGTGCTTATCGACGGTCAAGATAGGCTGCATTTTAAAAACTATACAACAATCACACTGACATGACCTCAGTGACAGCCCTATTGTTCTCCCGCTTATACAAACCGATGTTACGACTCAGTGAATAATGAATCAGTCCTTACTGACACTCTCTGATTATAATTAACACCAGGGCTGCGGCCGATCCAGATTCTGAATCCTGGAGAAGCAGGGTACTTAGGCTCTGTCGTGCCAAGACCAAAACACAGACGCCAAATCTGGCCTGTAGAAACTTTAAGAGATTACTTGAGCTTAGCAAAATACTTTACAAATGAATGTGAAAACAAATATTGCAAGTTAGGCTGCGAGATAACTGTGTCAGAGTGTTTAATTGTTGGATCTTTACGCTAAATAAAAAAGCGCGTGGAGGTCGTTTATACAGAGTGACCAAATCTGGCTTGTACAAATGGTGCGGGTAAGTGTTTCGATGATGCCTCAAGCAAGCTGGGTCCACTAATCGTTAATGTGCAAGATAGGCTGCAAAAACCCATAGTTTCAGAGGAGGCGACGGTAACTACAAGTGTTCTAGAACTTATATTTGACAAAATGTAGCTTGTACAAGTTAAGCAGTAGTACTTTGAAAACTACCTGTACGTCGAAACAGTCCCCCAAATCAAAATTGCAAGTTAGGATGCAAAAAGAAATGTATTATCAGAAATTAGAATTCTGATTAGGAGCAAAGTGTACTGCAGTCACTTTTGGTGCTTGGCAGCTCGTACGGCAGCTAGCTTCTCATTCAGTTTCCGCTTCTTTTCTTTCTTCGCGTTCGCACCTACAGGAGCTTTCTCCGACTTTGCTGGTAGCTTCAACTTTTTGTAGAATATCTTCTTCTCATGCTCGAGGTTTGCCTGGTCATACACACGTCCCTCCATCGTACAGTACGCTGTTAGCAGAGACTCCCACGATCCAACAGAATCCTTTTTACTTCCTGATGCCAGCTTGGTTGCATATCGAAACGACGCAACGCGGTCCACTTCACAAACCGCAGCGTCGCCAAAAACACCGCCCCATTTGTCTTCTTCAGCAGTGCCCTTCTGGTAGACGAGAAGTACCGAGTGAAACACCAGGTTATTTAAGCACACGACATCGCCGGGTCGTTGGATAAGCACGAAGCTACCAGGCGTACGTAGCATCCTATTCAAGGAGTCCTCCTTGTTCCCGTAGTTGAAGGATGTGGTCGCCTTAGAAGCCGGAGGAAATACCACCCAAATCTTGAAGGCCGTCTTCGCGCACGGGGGCAGGTACGAAATCACACGCCCGTGGTCGACGTGTATGGGGGACTCACGGTTTCCAGATTCAAGCCAGTATTCAGACCTATACCTATAGGCTTCGTTGTGCGGAAACACGAGCTTGGAGTAGTAGTTTGGCAGGTGTACGCTGTACTGGTCCGAGGGGCAAAATCGGCCTTCTTCTTGCTCCTCCCTTGCACCCTCCTCCACGAACTCCCGAATGTTGGTTGCTCCGAGGATGTCAAAGATATGCTGGGGGTCGTTTGGAATACGTGTATACCCACGTACCCCTGCCACCAAATCACACGAGCCAACAAACACCAGTGCTGGTGCCTCGGAATCCATCACACGCGCCCATGAGAACGCGCCCAGCACGTATCGGTCCTTGCTGTACGGTATGCGTGCCTTAATCTTCTGCAGGTCGTAGGTCCGAGGGCCATAGTCTACCCGATCGACTAGCTGCACCAACGTATCGATTAATTGCGCGGTCATCGTCGAGTGAGGTCGATATCTAGGCTTGCAACTATTTGTAGAAAATTGGCCAATTAAAAACTGCCAGCGAGTCGTTGGGTGCTACACAGGGATGCCCTGGCTATACATGGGTGCTATTTGAGAAAATGCAGTGTTGAGTCCCTAAACTGACGGTGTTTTTCGTATTTACTCACATTGCACCTTGTTTCAAACAAGGCGCTTGCCTATCCTTGCTGAAGAGATTTAATCTCCATCAAATGATTAAAGGAACTAGATTTATAAATACCATATTTTAATAATAAGAAAATCTTATTAATAAATATTTAAACTAAGATTTTAATCGGGGATCTTTTTCGACGCAACCTTTACATTACGGTCACCGCTGCAACACCATGCCAAATTCATCTACATTATTAAAACAGTATCAATACATGTACTTCTCGTAATGAATATCGGTAACCGTCTACTGCTGTATCCAGGTCCTGGATAGACTCTGTCAAGCAGACTCGTATTGCTGAGTCAGCTGAATTGTACATGTACCGGTGTAGTGCGTACTTACCCACATGATTCGAGCTACGTTGCAGCCCAGCCCCAGCCTACCGACTTCGTATTGCTGAGTCAGCTGCCTCTACGCAGTGGGCCATTGCACTGTAATTTGTCTGCAACTGCAGTGGCACATGTACTGTAAGACTTACAGTGTAAGTGTGAAACGTTGCTGCGCTTGAACTCAGTAGTACGGTACTGAATCAGTACATGTACTACATGTAGTACGCTTAATTGGTTGCAACCATCGCCCAATTCACGTGCTGGCCCAATAGACCCATTGTTCTCTAAATTGGGCCCAACGCTAAATGCGCTTAAACGCAGTACCTGTACCGTTTTACCAGAGTATTTGTGTTATACATTGTAATTTACAAAGAAGGCATGTTCTACATGTCCATCAGAAAATATCAGGCGTTCGCGATCCGCGGAATCGCTCGAGAGTCACCTTCTTTAAAATTCGCTCCAGTAATCAACAAGTCCTTACGCAAGTGTGTTTGTGTACATGTATTGCGGTCCAACTTTTGTGGTACAGTACCGGGTACAGTACACTGAATCAACAACTGCATGCACCGCCTCTGAATGTTGACTTGAACGCATCTTCAACGTCCATCGAGTGGAGAGTTGGTGTTTAACTCTCTTGTACTGTACATGCTGTTTTAATAAACTTTTAGTCTCGAAAAAGAGACGATACGTTGGAGCACTTGCTGAAGTGAAACTTGAGCACTTCATGTACATGCAGTACAATTCTGTACAGCTATAATTAAATAATAGCGAAGCATCTCAGGCAAATACGCTCACAAAAACTAGGGTACAGCGAGTTACTGTACGGTATTTGCTGAAGATGTGAACACGTTGACCACATTCCTGTACGGGGATACATGTAAATTTGGCAGCCAACCTGAGCTTCACGATCGCTACGCATGCAAATTCGAGGCGAAGCCTCGACGTTGCTGGGAGGCTTTCCATGACCATTCCACGCCGTACAGTTGCTTCATTGCTTCGTCGCCATGTGTACCGGTACGCAAATCCCGTGTTGTACAGGTTGATACTACAGCCATGAGATCCGAATCCGAGTCGGATGTCAAGGTTTAGTGCCGTCGTTCCAGATGTCTCATGCAACAAGCTGGCTCGACAGCATGCTCCGGTTCGAGCACTGCCCATTGAGCAGCTCATTCTTCAATTTTCTCGGTTTCGAGAAGATTACATAACTCGTTGCTACAGGTTTCTTTACCATGGTCTACTCACCCAGCTCCTACCTCATCTGCGCCGCCGTGGCTGCTGTTGCTCTGCAGATTCAGCAAGCATCTGCTGGGTCGCTATACTACGGGGCCTTCTCCGTGGACGCTGAGAACAAAATCAGTAAAGACTTACCTCTTGTCGGTACCGAAATTCCGGACCAGGACTGCCCCGTCGAGGTGGAGGTGGACCCGACGCTACCGGACATCACCACCATCCCGACGGTGCCAGTGACCTACCCAGACCTCTTGGCCAACCTGACGACGGCTCCGTCGGAGCCTGTCTTCTCAAAGGTGGGCTCGGTGATCATGTCAGAGGAGATCCCGGCCACCGATGCCGACCAGGACGCGTACATCGACTCGACGCTTCCGTGGGTTGGCACTGGTACGCCAAGTAAAACGGGCGTAGAGAAGTCCGCCAAGGACTGCGCTACTGGCTGGGAGGAAACGACTGTCGACAAGCTGCAGGAGAAGCTCGAGAAGAAGCGTCGTTTGGAGGAAAACACGAACAGGGATATCGCAAAGCTTGAGGCTTACTTCGGCACCAAGATGGAGATGACATTGAAGGACCTGCCTACCCAGGGTGTCCACACGCCGTCTCCATGGGCTGGTCCTTACTGGCCGACCTACCAGGACAGCATCAACGTTGTCTGGAGCCAGGGACAACCCAGCCCCGCTGAGAAGTACGCCAAGGCCTTTGGTCTGGACGTGAAGGAGTTTATGGACAAGGTATCCAAGGACAACGGAGTTGACTCGGGGAGCAAACGCAAACAGTGCCAGACGGATGAGGGCTGCGAGTCCCTTAACAACGGCAGCAAGTGTGCTATCCGTGACGGCAAGAGCTCGGGCTACTGTATCCCGGCGTGGTTTGGTATCTGTCACGCCTGGGCCCCTGCTGCTATTCTCGAAGCAGAGCCTACTTGCCCGGTGACGTACAACGGTGTGACGTTCCAGCCTCTGGACATCAAGGGATTGATCTCCAACGTCTACGATGGCGCTGGCGTCGCAACTGTGTTCACTGGTGCGCGCTACAACGGCGGCGACGATGGCGCCGATGAGTACGGTCGCCACACCAACGCTGCCTACCGTGACCTGAACCCTGCCTACTTCCACATTGCGTCTGCTAACATTCTGGGTAAGCTGAACGCCACCTTTGTGGCTGACGTCGACGCCGCCGCAGAGGTGTGGAACCAGCCCGTGCGTGGGTTCAAGGTGTACGAGCAGACCGCCATGTCGCTCGAGGAAGCTGCTCAGACCTTCTACGGCCTTGAGGAGTACCCGTGGAACGCCGCCGCCAAGAGCATTGTGTACGTGAAGTCGCGTCTCTCGTGGATCTTCGAGACGTACACAGACGGTGGCCTGGTGGCTTCGGGTGAGATCAACCGCTACACGACCGGCAAGTACTACTACTACTTGCTTGAACTGGACGATGCTGGAGAGATCATCGGTGGTGAGTGGGTCTACGACTCGGACAGCGACCACCCTGACTTCCTGTGGGTGCCGAAGGCGAAGCCTGCCGCTAACGCCGTGACCAGCATCGGTCTGAGCTACGCGGACGTGAGTATGCTGCTGGAGAAGTCGGTCGCCTGCTCCGACTCCACTTCCACTGCTGGGTCCGTGTCGAGTTCTGGCTCGGTGGGTGAGTCTACGGAAGCGCCTACGGAAGTGCCGACTACGGAAGTTCCGACGACGTCGACGAGCGCTTCCTCTCCAGGCAGTGGAGCGTTGTAAGTATGGCATCCTCCTGCGCTTCATTCCAATGCATCTGAACAAGTAGCTTCGTTTTAGATTGTCGGCTTTTACTAAGAAAATGGCTCAAAACAACTACGTGATCCGCATATTTCGGCTACCGCGCTGTAAGACCTGTACAGTACCGGTAATATCTCAAATACCGTACTTTTGAGCTGTAGTAGTGGTGCATATCTTTCATATGAGCTTTTTCAAAAAGGCAAAAATTATTACTAACAGAGATTTCATTTAGCACAACGTAGTACTGTACAAGTAGTTAGTAACTGATAACCGAAATTTCATTTAGTAGTAGTTTATTACTACTAACGGAAATTTACATCGCGTACCCTCACAGTAACCGAGAGTCACCTCACTCAAATTTAGTTCATTAAATCCAAATTTGGATTCGGTAACTCGCTCTAAACCACTAGAAAATTGCCCAGCCTGGCCGACGATATCATCGTGTCGCTTTTTTTTATCAGAAGAGCCATCAATTGATCCCAAAACAACTGCAACAGTTGCAATGGCGGGATGAAATTCACCACCAAACTCTGGTTCCTCATTAAAAAATCTTGTATAAGGTCATGTCGGTCGGACGCTGAAGTGAGTGCTAGCTTTAAAATTGCGATATTTGCCTGGTAGAGACAAAAAAACTTTCTGTAACCTCTTTCCTAAGTGTAACCTCTCTAATTTAATGATGTAATAATAATTAGTGCCCTGGGTAATCGACAAAATCCGATGGAAAAATTTAGCAACAGGATGCGGACATCTTTCCAAAAAACAGGATGCTCCCTCAAAACTCCAGGCCATTTGGCACACTTCAAAATAAGCGACATTCTGGATAAATACTCTGGATAAAATCCAAATAAATGACGGATAGATTACCAAGGAATGCTTTAATCTTTGGAATGACGCTTTGCTCCAAGGGTTATACAAAGTCGTCGAAGGAGATCTAAAATTTAAGAAAAGCGGTGCACAGGAAAAGATTAAAACGTGGAAATTCAAAACCCAAGGAGATTCTTGTATATCCCACATCCTTACCGACTATTAAAGAATCTCCGTTATTAGTGCAGATGACAGTATTTCCAGGGAGGACAGCTAAAAGGGCCATATGAACAGCCTCGCTCAGATCAATTTGCTTGCAAAAAGTTTCTTAGTGACACGCACAGCAGTGATGAGGCTGGGAGATTTCTAATCGAAAAAAACTTGGCATCAAAACGCCGTGAGCTTAGCTCGCTGTTGTATCCACATGTACAATTGATTGGCTACCGGGTAAATGAAATCTGACAACACTGCCCCGCATGAACATTATTTAGCCATCCAAATTCTTTGAACTTCTATTTTTTTCTGAGCTCTGCTGTAAATCGCGTAGATTTTATTCTCACAGATCTTGCTGCAACAGACCAAACCAACGCCATTTATTGGCTCAATTAAAATCTCTTAGCGTTAAGCTAAGCGCACAATAGAAAATAGCAGTCAGGCATGTTACATGTCCTGGTTAAAACAGGAAATGACTTCAGCATTCAACCGAAACCTGCGAAAACGAAGAGTCTGAGCCACCCTTGCCTTTCATTATAACACTTTTCCCTTCACCGTAATGCAGCACTCTAGCTGCGAGAGTCGCCATGTTAATTTATTCGAGCGGTCGTCCAAGGATTCGCCCACGAAAGATCAGATTTGGTCTTATTTGTGCACTGAGAGTCTAAAGCATTTCGGGAGCGAACATTTGGCAGATAATCAGTCTGAGCGCGCAGGCTGCTAGCAACCATGCAGATCACTGTGGAGGACGAAGCATACGAGCGTGACGAGCCTTACAGATAATTTGCGTCAGCTCAGAATCAGTGATTTCCTGCAGCCATGCGATTCAGGTGCTAGTGTACGCGGTGCTACCACGGGCATCTCACTACCGCGCCGTGGCTTTTTTTTTAGTCGGTGAGTCGTGAGTCAGCAAAGACGCAGTCCAGTAGCCGGATAAATTTAGTAGACGCATCACCGACGCGTGTCGGACCTAGTTTTCGCCATGCTAGGTGGCCATGTCGTAATTTGTTTTACCTTAGACTTCGTTCCGATTCACCTAGCATGTCGAAAACTAAGTGAAATGTTACCGTCACGACACGCACGGTCGCCGACAACCTCAACGAGGAAGAAGAGATATGCTTTTGCGAAGGAAAGTGCTGAAGATCGTGCCTCCACTACGTGCACTACACGCTCTGTGACGAGAGTATTATAACTGTGGCTGGATGAGCTACTGTGGTAGCAAGTTTGTTGCGGCCCACGTTATCTTTGCAGCGTCCACCGGGGCTAGTCTATGTTGTGTGGGGGCTATTTTGAAGGCATCGTTTGTCGTGGAGTACGTTGGTGATATCATCGATAGGAGCAATTCATGAAGCGGATAAATACTAGCTACGTGATTGGGTTGAGGGCGAAGGCCGCATCTGGAGGGTCGCTTTACTTAGACGCAGCGAGATACGGAAACGAATGCCGTTTTGTTAACCACTCATGCAAGCCCAGCTGTATTTTCGTGGCGTAGAGCTCCGTGCCATTAGGTCTGTTTAAAAAGTAAGATCACAACCGATGCAGGAACTTTCATTCCATTACCACCCTAGTAACAGGTGTTCCGATAATAACATTGCAATAATATTATCACAGCCGTTAGAAATAATATATTGTTCTTCTGAAATCAACAGCGAGAATAAATAATTGCAGCCAAAATAAGCCTTCCATTTACAAAGGTTTTAAGATTAAAAACACGGAAAAGTATAAAAAAACTAATTTGGAAAGACCATGGGAAAATAAGTTATTGGAAGTGGTATTTGGCATCTCAAAAATAAATTACTTATTGTATAATATTGTATTGAAATTCCAATACAATGATTATTTCGGAACACCTGCCTAGAAAGCTATCATTTCACTGTCTATTAGACAGCTTTTGAGCCGACGGTAGGATGTATAGCTGTATCCAATATCACATATACAACAGACGTACCAAGTTGAATAAATACTAGCCGAGTGCCGCCGCTTCGCGGCGGTGGGTCTGTGATGGGTCCCAGCTGTGTAGGCCGCCCGCCTCCGCTTCGGTCCGGCGGACTGATTGTTGTGTTTTATTCATCATGAAAATATTAAAAAGAGAGATGTCACTGTAAAAACGTGTTGTATTTAGAGTGAGGCCACATTTTCACCCATGAAGGCCGCTAGCCTCCGCTTCGCTCCGGCGGGCCGAAGTTTTCTTCGTTTGTTAGCGAAACAACGTGGAAAACGGTAATGAATTATTCCTACCTACGCTCAAAGATCTGTCTGTACACTAAGGTTTTAGTGTAAACTCCGTCCTCCAGCTCCAATTCGGGGTATTCGATCAGCATCTTGAATCCGTTCGACGCCACTTTGCGGCTGAGGTTGCATGATTTGTTGTCCGGAATGCTAAATAATTGGTGGTACAGCGTGACTTCGGTTAGTATATTGTACCTCAAGGCTTCAGCCACCCTAATACGACGTAGTTTCGTGACTTGAAGCCCCTTCCATTCCGTAGTCTCATGTGGCGGTGTAAGATATCGTGGTTTTGCAGACTACCGATGCTCCGTACTACAGATTAAATGTCGTGTTCTTTCGTGGCCCGTGCTCTTCCGTGTCCTTCCCGGTTTCAAGGTTTCAAGGTCACTCGTAGCTCAGGTTAAGCGTTATCGCTTTGGTTTTATGCCCCCCCCTCTTTTGTGGTTGCTAGCCTTTCCGTGCTCCCAAGGGTTTACATGAGCTCCACAGGTTTGTGGTCCATAATCATTCGTGATACATGGCGTCCCATTGCAGGTACCCTCGCCGATGGGTGCTTATCCGTAGTTGTGTTGACCTGTCGTCGATGTATCGTGCGCTCCTGGTGAAGATTCATCGACCGCGTTATCGCGCTATCATGCAATCGCGGTGTGGTTCTGCTGCTCATGCTATTGCGAGCTCATAGTGTAACTCTGTTGACCACGGTATGCGGTCACGAAATCGTGCTCCACGATGCAGCCTCGTGCTCTCCTGAAGCGTTCCCCCGTGGTTTTGTGACTGGTCCGCCGTCCGTGCTATCATATTCTACTGTAATATCGCTCTCCGTGGCTCGGTGAGCTCCGGTTCTACCCTGGTATCGTGCTCCGTGGCTGGGTGATTTCCCGTCTAGTGGCTGCGCGTTCTCCCATAATTTAATAGTTGGGTCACCGTCCATACTATCGTGTTATCTTGTGGTGTCGCAGCTGGTCTGTCGCTCGCTCTGTCGTGAGCTACCGTAGTAACGCTCTTCGTGGCTCGGTGGGCTCCGGTTCTACCCTGGTATCGTATTTCAATGCTCGGTAATCTTCCTTTTATGGTCTACGCGGCTTTATGTTTAGCCCGTCGACCGTGCTCCGTGCTCCACCGTGTTGTAACGGAATAATGTGCGTTGTCACAGCTACGTGTTCTTCTGTGGGATGTCAATTTTTCAGCTCTCTTCCGTGGTCCGTGCGCTCCCGTCATACTCTTTTCCTCCCCATTTTTCATGGTAACGCGCTCTACCGTGGTTCGTACTTTTCAGAATCGTTAAGTGCCTTCATCTATTTAGACCTCTTTCATTGTCCGTGGCATTTCGTGCTTTGTGCTGTTTCTACTATTGCATCATGTACATGGTGTTCCTCCGTGTTTCGTGCTCTTGCTTAATCACGTGCCTCCGCACTAATTTAAAGACTGTTTCCAGTGCTTTGAAGGTACGCTACGTATCGTGCTGGAGAAAGGGCACATTTTCTAAATGTCGCACACTACGTGCGCAAATACAAAGGAAGACGATATTTGTTTTGCGGCGGTGGAGTAGGAAGGTTACCGTAATTAGTAGTATTTTTATCTAGCACAATCATGTGTAATCCTACTACAAATGATTGCAAGCAAATATTTTAAAGAAAATTAAAATACTAACAATTTGTAAGTAAATCTATATTAAAATTACTACGAAGCTTAAAACCCATATTTTAACAATAGTACAAAGAGGACTACTCAAGACT